TGTACACAAAAACGCATCAATAAGTGTTTTCTCTAAGCTGCGTATTCGGTTTCAAGCATAGGTTGTGTACGAGTTGTTGTAGCTGTTGGTGCTCTTGTCTCTCCAACCTGAGTCATTCTCAAAGCTTCCCCTGTCTCTCCAGCTCTCTCCATCTCTCTCATTTTCTCTTGCTTCTTGTAATTCTTACACCGCAAAACCAGAAACAGCAAAAGCCCCAACAGTAACAATCCACCTACCACTGAACCAACGATTATCCAAGTCCTTGAGGAATTTGAACCAGAGCTCTTCTTCTTTTTCTCATTCCCTGGAGGAGCTGGACTTGGAGCAGAGGCTACAGATTTCACAACCACTGAGAAATGTCCTTGAACCTCAGTCTCGCATGTGTTTCCAGGCTGGATCGATTCACTGAAAGTAGCTTCACCTTGTGAATCGAATCTAACGCACTTAGCACTAGAACCTTGTGGGATTGGTTCCAGATCAGAGAAATCGATTCTGATTGGATCATTAGATACCTTCAAATCAAGCTCAGGGAGATTCAAAGCAGAGAGATTCTTAGCATCGTAAGCAAGAAGACCCAATACAGGTGCTACATAATCGTAACCAGACAAAGGGTAATACAAGTGAGAGAAATTGGCTAGGTTTTGATAAACCAAGACAAGCCTTGTCACATACGGCTTCAAAATTACGCCCTTTGGGATTTTAAACTCTTTAAAGGAAGAGACTCCTCGTTTTCTCAAGCTTCCGCTTCTGAGTCTCATGGCTGCAACTTTGATTCCAGTCAAATTGGAAGGGACAGTACCTTCGTAGAGAATGCCGGTACGAGGACGAACAAAGGCTCTAAAAGAGTAATCTTGAAGAAGAGCATCGAGAGAAGAAGAAGAAGTCGCATTGGTCGGAGATTGAGCAGAGAGTTTAGAACAGAACAAGAGAAACATAAGTACCTGGAGACAACAGAGAAACCCCATTGTCGGAAAAGTCTTCTTCTTTCGCCTCTGGAGCGAAAAAAAATCCCCCCCAGGGCGAGTCAAAAGCGTGCGACTCAGTAAAAAGTCGCCGTCACGTCTCTTCTAAGTGTGAAGACTTGGGAAAAAGGGGCAAAAAGTTAAGAAATTGGGTTAAGGTTTTGAGCAAAGGAGAGAGAGAATTGAAGAAACCAAATCGAGGAATGAGGGTTTGCAGCAATGGAGAAGAAGCGGAGAGGAGAGAGAATTAATGGTCGCCGGTGGGGAAGAGAGAGAGAGGGCCAAAAGGACAAAAAGGAGAAGAAGAGTGTTGTCGTCAGTCCCATTTGTTCACAAAAATTATACAGCCTGTTCATCTGATTTTTCTACTTTTCCCATTATTAAAAAAATTATTATTTTCTCATTCAATATCTTTTTTTTTCTTACTTTCTTTATCAACCAATCATATTGATACATTGCGGCATTCAATTTCGCCGTAACAATTGTCCGTCTACTTAAGAGTGTATTGGACGTGGTATTTTAATAGATTTGGTGGAGTTTCTAATTTGATAAGATTTATGTAGATTTGTGTGGATTTTGAGTATATATAATAATTTTGAAATTTAAATAAAATCTTATTGTATGATTTAGTGTGTGATTTAAGGTGATTTGTTTTAAAATTTGAGAGGATTTGTGGTGATTTGAACTTTTTTTTTTTCATTCAAATAAATCAAAAACAAAAATAATTATGAGCACACGAACATGTTGAGTAATAG